AAGCCGCCGCGGCCCTGGCGACGCCGAGCGCCGCCGCGCAGGCCGCCAGGACGGTTCGCTCGTTCGTTTCGACGGCGCCGCCCGGGTGGTCGAGGCCGCCGTCGAGGGCCGCGAGGCAGGCGACGCCCGCGCAGTCCGGCGCCATCGCCGCGCGCGTCGCGGCCTCGACGGCCGCCAGGGTCGCCTCCGGGTCGCCGCGGCCGCCGACGGCGACCAACACGCCGCCGAGGGCCTCGGCGAGCGCGGCGCCGACGGCGCCGCCGCCGACGACGACCCAGGACCCGGCCGGCCGCGAAACCGCCGCCGCCGGCCGCGGCGCGAGCTCGACGGCGTACGCGTGGTCCGCCGCGAGGTCCGCCTGGGCAGGAAAAGAGAGATTCAACGTCGCTTCAACGTGAGTGTTCCGCGCGCGCGCGTTCCGGAAAAGCATCCACGCTTCGAGGCCGTTGCACGAGATGATCGCTCGTCCAAAAATCAGCCGAAACGAGTGGAAAGCGGCCGAGATAGGAGCCTTTGAAGTTGGGAATTTCGCTCTCTTGTCCTGCCCCGAGGTCCGCGGCGTCCCTCGCGGCGGCGGCCGCGCGCGCGCGGGCGCCGTCGCCGGCCTTGAGCGCGGCCTTGGCGACCTTGCCCGAGCCCGTGAGCGGCAGCGCGTCGAGGAACTCGACCCGCGACGGCACCTTGAAGTCCGCGAGGAGATTCGCGCAGTGCCGCCGGAGGTCGTCGGCCGCGACCGCGCCGTCGGCGACGACGACGGCCTTGACGCGCTCGCCCAGGGCGCCGTCGGGGAGGCCGTAGACCGCCGCGTGGGTCACGCTCGGGTGGTCGTGGAGCGCGCGCTCGACCTCGACGCAGTAGACGTTCTCCGAGCCGACGAGGATCATGTCCTTGGCGCGGTCCGTGATCGTCAGGTAGCCCCGGCCGTCGACCGTCGCGAGGTCGCCCGTGCGGAACCAGGGCCCCGCGAAGGCGTCGGGCGCGGCGCCGCCGACGTAGCCGGAGAAGACCGTGGGGCCCCGGATCCAGACCTCGCCGACGGCGCCGGCGCCGCGCGCGACGTCCGCGGCGTCGTCCTCGTCCGCCGGCGCCGCGCTCGTCGACCCGGCGACGACGCGCACGTCCAGCAGGAAGAAGGGCCGCCCGCTCGAGCAGACGAGGTCCAGCGTCCCCGCGGGGCCGAGCTCCGCGCGGACCGCGGCGTCGACCAGAGACATGGCGATCTTCCCGCAGCACTCCGTCATGCCGTAGGACAGGAAAAACTCGCACCCGAAGGTCGCCACGGCCGCCCGCACCGTCGCCGGCGCCAGGGGCGCGCCGCCGCAGGACAGGAGCTCGAGGGACGAAAAGTCCGCGCGCCGGACCGCGGCGTCCGCGAGGAGCAGCGTGACCTGCGTGGAACTCAAATCTTCAACCCGACTTCAATGTGCGCGTATGCGACAGTTTTTGACGCAAGCTCTTCCGCTGTGCTTCGAGAACTCGACGAGAGCCATCGATTCGTCCAAAAATCACCCGAATCGACTTCGATGTGACCGAGCTAGAGAGGTTTGAAGTTTTTGCCGGACAGGGCGTTCCACCGGTTGATTCCCACACAGAGCGTGACCATCGTCGACGCGACGTTGGACACGGTCACGCGCCGCTCGCCCACGGCCGCCGCGACGCCCCGGCCGTCGAAGGCCGGCAGGATGACGTGGCGGCCGCCGACCCAGGTGATCGCGAAGACCGCGTACGCGTCGACGAGGTGGAAGAGCGGCGCGACGTGGAGCCTGGGCAGCAAAAGAGAGATTCAACGTCGCTTCAACGTGAGTGTTTCGCGCGCGCGCGTTCCGGAAAAAGCATTCGTGCTTCGATACCGCTCCGAGAGATGATCGCTCGTCCAGAAATCAGCCGAAACGAGTGGAAAACGGCCGAGATATGAGGCTTTGAAGTTGGGAATTTCGCTCTCTTTTGCCGCCCCGCGTGGAGCCAGCAATCGCCGCCGTGGATGCGGTGCTCCCTGAGGCAGCCCGCGGCGTGGAGCAGGACGACGCGCCGCGCGAGCACGACGCCCTTGGGGCGGCCGGACGTGCCCGACGTGTAGTACATCTCGCAGCCGGCGTCGCCGTCGCCGCGGAATCCCGCGCGCTCCGGCGCGGCGCCGCCGCGCGCGACGGCCTCGTAGGACGCCTCCGCCGGCGCGAGTCCCGACGGTGCGCCGTCGTCGCCGCCGGCCCAGAGCAGCGCCGCGAGCGCCGCGCCGGCGCCGGCGACCGCGTCGCGCGCGGCCGCGGCCGCGACGACCGCGCGGCACCCCGCGGCGCCGAGGCAGAACCGCAGCTCGTCGCGGCTCCAGCGCGGGTTGCAGTTGAGCACGACGCCGCCGGCGAAGCCGCCGACGGCGAAGTGGACCTCGAAGGCCGCGAGGCCGTTGGGCGCGAGCACGCCGACGACGGCGCCCGCGTCGGCGCGCGCGAGCCAGGCCCCGACGCGCGCGCACCGCGCGGCGACGGCGCCGTAGGCCAGCGCCGCCCCGGACCCGAGGTCGGCGACGGCGTCGCCGCGCCCGCGCAGCGCGCAGGCCGCCGCCAGCGGCGCCCAGACGTCGCTCCAGTCCGCCGCCGCCAGCAGCGCCTCCGCGCGAGCCGTGTCGCCGGCCCGCGGGCCGGGCACGGCCGCGGCCGGCGCGGCCGCGCGCGCCGGCGCGCGCCCGGCCCAGCGCGCCGCCTGCGCGTCG